ACAAACACCCATTTGTACCCAACAGGATTAACACCCTCAGGTGTCTGGACTACTGGTCCAAATACTTCACGTTTAGCTAATGAATTTAGCTTTGCTTGTATTGCTTCTTTCCATTTTGGCCAATCATTTCTTCGTCGACATTCTTTGACGTTTTGAGGTTCCGGATTCTCATTATCAATATCAAGAGCAACGAGATATGAGAATATGTTGTCGACAACAATTTCATTTCTATTCCATCTCGTTTCATAATTTAATGAGATCTCATCATTTTCAAGTACCTTTGCCTCATCAAGAGCATGTGCCTCATCAAGGGCCACATCATCATCTGTTGCCTTTGCCTCATCAATATTTATTATTTCATCATGTTTAGGTACCTGAGACTCATCAAGAGCCTCTGCCTTATTAAAGGCTATTGTTTCAGATTGATCAATAATATCTGTTGCTCCTTTTGTGGCCTCTTCAGGAGTACCGGCTTTTCTTTGTGATTTCCTCTTACGAGGAGCGGTATCTTTTGCGCCAACTGGTCTGCCACGCTTCGGGCGTGTTTTAGATGCATTTGCTATATTACTGACAGAAGGTCTCTCAGGGACAGTAATTCGTGCTGGCACATTTGCAGCTGGTATATGTGATTTTATCACTTTCTTTGTATCAGTAAATGCATCAGGTAATTGATTTGCAACAATTTGCAAGTGTATAATCCTTTGAACTTCTCGTTCATATTGGTTTGTACGAGGATCAAAATGAGACAATTCCAAGGTATTCCAAGTAAGATCACGTTGCTGCTGTGCCTTTTCTGCCCCTAATGGTGGGAAAACAGTCTTATCAAAATAACAGTCAGCAAATCATGCTTTAAAGATATCACCTGTCAGGAGTTCAAGATATCTAATAATAGATGGAGAATCAAAACCAATATAAATTCCAAGTCTACGTTGATGACCCATTTTAGTGCGTTGGGGTGGTGCAATTAGAACATATACAGCACAACCAAAAACTCGTATGTGGGAGATATTTAGTTGTTGACCAAAAATAAGTTGCAATGGTGAGTACTTATGATAAGCAGTTGGTCATATACGAACTAATGATGCAACATGCAATATGGCATGACCCCAGGCATAAATAGGTAATTTTGTTCGCATAAGCAAAGGACGACCAATTAACTGAAGTCTTTTAATAAAAGATTCAGCCATACCATTTTGAGTATGAGTGTGTGCAACAGGGTGTTCAACATTAATTCTAACTGACATGCAATAATCATCAAAAGCTTGAGAAGAAAATTTAGCGGCATTATCAAGACGGATTGTCTTAATTGGGTAATCAGGAAAGTGTACCCGTAATTTGATGATTTGAGCAAGAAGTTTAGCAAATACAACATTACGAGTAGAAAGCAGACAAATATGTGACCATCTTGTTGAGGCATCAATTAAGACCATAAAAGAGCGAAATGGTCCACAGGGTGGATGAATTGAGTCACATATATCCCTGTGAATTCATTGCAAAAATGGGGGAGACTCAACAATGACTTTTGAAGGGGATGCTCTGATAATCAACTTACCTTGTGAGCAGGCGGTGCATAGATGATTATTTGGTAAGATGATTTTTTTATCCTTTAGTGGGTGCCATGTGAATTTTCAATAATTCGACGCATCATTGTACTCCTTGGGTGACCAAATCGATCATGCCAAAACATAAAAAGTTTTGGGTCACAAGATTTTTTATGGATCACAGCATTTGACTCAATTGTTCTAATGGTTGTATAGTATAACCCAGAAGAGAAAACAGAGAGTTTTTCGAATATCAGCTTCTTGCCTGAGGTAATGGAAGTAATATAGAGATATTCCACATTTCTTTCATTTGCAGTCTCAATATGATACCCATTACGACGCAAGTCTTTAAAACTCAACAGATTTCTCTGAGATCTTGTAGAATATAAGGCATCATTGATTTATAATCTTGTTCCATGTGGTAAAATGATGTTGGCTCGTCCAGAGCCTTCAATCAAGTCGGTGGGACCTGATATGGTACTGACACTAGCGTCTAACAGAATTAAGTGGGAAAAATATTTTTGATCTCGAAGGATTGTATGTGTTGTTCCACTATCTGCAAGACATATATCTTCTCCATTTATATTGAAACTAGTCAGATCCATTCCTATTCATGCAAATTTCTTTACCAGAAAAGAAACTTTTATAACAAAATAAACTTTAATACAAACTAGAGGATAAAAACTTTAATACAAGGAAAATAAAAACATAGTAAACAGAATATGAAAAGAAAATAAGATTAATTGGTGTGGACATTTCCATCACCAATCAAGAAGTTTATCATTTCATCACGGTCTTCAAAAAAATCTGATACGTCCAGATTTGTGATGTTAACTGGCTCATCATGATTAATGAAATTCATTTCCAGATTTGTGGTGTCAATTGGCTTATCATGATCAAAGAAATTCATTTCCTTTTATTTTCCCTTTTCTTTCATTGAGGCTTGGTAAAGTTCACCCAGATGCTTAGGTGTACGACAAATACTTTGCCAATGCCCTGTCATGCCACACCGATAACAAGTATTATCGTGTGCCTTGGAAGGTTGAGCCACATCTTTCCCTTTTCCCTGTTTCATTTCATAATGATCTTTTCTTTGAGGATATGGTGTGGATCTCTGATTGCGAAAATGTGAGGATTGATATCCTTCACGATAATAAGAATGATTTCTACCACGACCATATTCATTATTGTGGTAGTTATTTTTGCCACGACCATATTCATTTCTACCACCACGACCATGTCCACGTCCGCGTCCACGACCATGGGATGAGGCAACATATGTTTGAGAGATCGGTGTCGATCCAGTTGGACGGGACTGGTGGTTTCTCAACAAAAGCTCATTATTTTGCTCTGCCATAAGCAAACATGATATCAGCTCTGAATATTTTTTAAATCTACACTCTCGATATTGTTGTTGCAAGAGTACATTCGAGGCGTGAAATGTGGTGAATGTTTTTTCTAGCAAAAGTTCATCAGTAACAGTATCACCACATAATTTCAATGTAGAGCTAATTTTGAATAGAGCAGAGTTATATTCAGCCATAGTTTTAAAATCTTGCAACCTCAGTTATAGCCAATCAACCCTGGCCTTTGGGAGGATGACTATTTTTTGATGATCATATCTTTCTTTCAAATTATTCCACAAACAAAGTGGATCTCTTTCAGTGAGGTATTCAGTTTTCAGTTCCTTACTAATATGGCGCCGGAGGAAAATCATGGCATCTGCTTTATCTTGCAATGATGGATCATTGTTTTCTTTAATTGTGTCTCCAAGGCCCATGGCATCCAAATGGAACTAAGTATCCAGAATCCATAATAAATAATTTTTGCCAGAAATATCCAGAGCCACGAATTCCAGCTTTGTTAGATTTGACATTTTTAGAATAACCTTTGGAATCAGAAATACTATTTTCTTTAATAAAGCAAACCAACCCAACAATCTATCAAAACTAATTTCACAAAATAGATATATAGTTGGGATAGAAAGAGGGAGAGAAAACTTTTTTTTCAAATCTGAGATGGATGGAGCTCGCGCTTATAACGTGTAATAAATATATGTGTGTGTGTGTGTGTATATATATATATAAAATAATAGTTATTATAGAAATAAAAAAACTTTTACACAGAGAGATGGGGAGAGAGAGAGAGAACGAAATAGAGACACAGAGAGAATGAAAGCTTCAATTTTGATATCTAAAAATAGTAGACATTCAATGCCTTATATAGGCTCACAGTGTAGCTTCCCATGTACGCCATTTTGATATCTTCTCTTATAAGCCTCCAAAGCCATCTTTCTTTGCAAGTCTCAAAACTTATGATTATATGGATGACTTAATGAATTCGTGGGCCTCACACAAGTGTGCATATATATATAACAATTTCCATCTTTTTTTTTTTTTTTTTTATTTTTAATTTCACTTATTATCTTGATGCCCCAAAACTCATTTTAGTTATATTGTCTCAGGAAACCTCTCTTGCCGAAATCCCACGAAATCTCTCTTGTCAAAATTCACACTCACAAAATATATATAGTCTCACAAAACCTCTATTGCCAAAATTCACACTCACGAAATCTTTGCCTTCGTAGAAATCCATCTATAATGCGTATGCAAGCCTAAGCAACCACAACCCCAGCCCCAGCCAAAAAAGTATATAACCCCAGTCAGTAAGCAACCACAACCCCAGCCCCAACCAATAAAGTATATAACCCCAGTGGAAGGATATTGAAAAAAAAATTGGGCCGTGAAGTGTAGATAAAAATATATAATTTTAAATTAAACTTTACAATATCAATTCAACTATTAATAGGTGTATTTTCAAATTTTTAAAATAATATCAAAATCAAGATTATATTTTATTACAATTTACTAATATTTTATTTATTTATATATTAAAAAATTATTTATAAAATTAGAAAATATGTATAGAATATATAGACTAAATTATTAATTTTTTTTATATAGTTCCTTTATCTATTATTAGAAAACTAAATTATTTATTTTCTATATATTTTTTCTTATCTAATTAGATTTTTTTTTATTAAAAAAACTCATAATAAATAAGTAATTTGAATTTTATAAAAACTCTTTTAAATAGGTAATTTGAGTTTTATACAAACTCTTCAAATAATCTTATATTAATTTTAAAATAAAACTCATAATAAATAGATAATTTGTGTTATTCTATCCATTAATATAAAATTGACACATGGTAAAAGAGATAAAAAAATAATTTTTAATTAAAACTTATAACAAAAATTCAATTATTGATTAATGTATTTTCAAATTATTATAATAATATCAAAATGAAGACTATTTATTATTATTATTTATTAATATTTTATTTATTTATATACTATTATTTATAAAATTAGAAAAGATGTGGAGACTAATAGGCTAAACTATTTTTATTTTTTATATATTTCTTTGCCTAATTAGAAAGAATAAATTAATTATTTTCTCACTGTCCGTCCCTCTCGTCGGCCCTCCTCCTTACCCTTGCTTTCTTCTTCTGCACCGCTATTTCTACCTAAAACTCAATTCCAATTCCAATTTCAATTCCGTTTCCTTTTCCAAATTCTTACATAATGGGTAAAGTGCCGCCCGCGCCGCCCCGCCCCCCCAATTTCACTCTCTCTACCTAAAAACCCTAGGGCAGATATTTGCATAACCCTAAATCCCTAATCCCTCTCTTTCCTCAGTCACGACCTAATCTGATTCAAGCAAAAGCATCGGCGACGACGACTATCCAGATCTCTGGACCAAAGAAGGCCGAAAAAGTAAGATTCGGGAGCACACTCGCCAAGAACTACAATGGCCGAAGTAGAGCTGTCCATGGAGTCTGTGAAGCAGTACAAGGTGAAGTGTCCCGATGAACTTTCAAAGATAAAGGTAATTAGAGACAGAATTTTTGATTTGGGAAACAAGGTGGGGCAGACAATTATTTTTGTTCGCTCATGAAATAGTGCAAGCATGTTGCATCAAGCACTTGTGGAACATGGCTATGAGGTGACTACTATTCATGGTGCTCTTAATCAAGATGACAGGGACGACTCAAGTTCTTATTTCAACTGACCTCGGTTTTGATCAAGCAGAGGTGCTCACTTTTATCTCTTTTTACCTATTTGTTTATTTTTCTTTTTACTGCACAAAATATCGACATCATAACATGCATGTTTTATTTCAGGTTAATCTGGTTGTCAATTATGATCTTCCTGTGAAGTACGAAACTCCATCGGAGCCTGACTATGAGGTATACTTGCATCGGATTGGCATGGCAGGACGTTTCGGCCGCAATGGTAAAGTCTCTCGACTTGGGAGTATTTATTTATTTATTTTTCCTTCTGTTTTGTGTTTTGTGGTTCATCCTACTGGTAGAAATACTGTTGACTCATTTGGTGAACTTTTCTCCTAGAGACGTTCAGATTGATCACTGATTATAATTTTGCGTCTCATAGCATGACATAGGTTCCTCGAGATACACCATATACAAAGTACCATGCAAGCTTACTATGTTTGTATGATATAAATACTTAGGAAATTGTCATATAAAATTTTTATGCATGAAAATTTCTACTTGTGGGTAATGTTCTTTTATAGTAGCTGTAATGTTCTTTTATAGAGCTGTAGAGGCTAGGAACTTGTTGAACCTAACTACACTGAGTTGTTGTAATGGGGTGAACAAGATTTCATCATCATCAAGACCTCTCACAGCGCTAGCACCCTCATCGTCTTCCAAATAAAGACGGTTGGTGACGCCGTCAGGAATGTTACAACTTAAACGAAGGGCTTTTATGTCAGTAATGCCCATGGTAAGAGGAGAAAGGTCGAAGAAAGAAAAAGAATAAAAAAATGAACAAAGCCGCCTCCAATTTATAAGCCATCATCACAGCCTTTGTCGCTGTCATTATGCATTAATCTCGCCATAATTATTATCGCCCTAATTATTATGCTGAAATTAAAGGGGCTGATGAAGAGTTGGGAATTGCGAACTGCGAACGGCTTCTCTAAATAGAAGCTAGAGAGAGGGAAAGGCAGATTATTTGGAGTGTGAGAAAATCTTTTCCGAAGGCAAATGGATTCGATTGAAGTGTAACATATTTACTTTCTGAATATAGAGAGCAATTTATTGCATCTTCATCTAGTGAAATTTTTAGTTGCATCGATAAAACCTGGTTTCTTTTTAAGGCCCATGTGTTTTCGCTTAGGATTTCAACTGAACTTGTTTAAGGGCTGCACCTCTGTTGCTAAGAGAGAGCTAGGTGCTTAACTCGCTAAGAAACATCTATTTTTTTGGCCTTTATGTGCAAAAGTCCAACAATAATGAAAAGGAGTGTTACTATGTGTACAAGCAAGGGTCGGGAATAATTTGTTTCCATCTCTTTATATTTATATTGCAGAAGCTTTTTACCAATCAAGTAGTACTGCAGCTGTATCTTAATGAGGAAATTGGAATAATCAGTTTACTGAACCAGTGGCTTCAATGTGTAATCACTGTTAAATATTGTTCAGTTGCTAATTTTTAAGGTGTTTGAAACTGCAGCTGTGATTGGGATTCTTCAAAATTAACTTTCTGGGCTGTGGATATCAATGTCATTTTTGTTTTTTTATTGGGTTGGGGGTAAATATCAAAGTGCTGTGTTTTTTTAACTTCTGGGAAGTCCAGGTCTTGAATAATTTGTTTGACAGTCAGATCCTGGATTTGGAATGCTGAAATTATACTAACCTAAAGAACTTCAGCTGTATTTTTGTTTTCCTGCATGCAATCCAGAACTTGGGGAGTATCTTTTGGTATGTGAGCTCCCTCTTTTGTGGACATTCCATGTGATCAGCCTGGCCTAACCAAAACATTGTGTGGAATTAAGGAAGAACTTCATATTGATTACGTATCCTATTGGTTAGGATTTTTCTGTACCTAGGCTTCCTGGAGTCATGAATCTGCTTCTAGCTAACTGTCAAAGCCTCACAGGGTGACGCCAACCTTTTAGGTTGGATTTGTAGGCTTGTATATGAAATCAGGTCTTACAAAAAAAAAAAAAAAAAGTGGTTTTGGTTTAAACATTTATAAACTCCAGCTAGTTGTTGGCGGCTAGTTTATTTTTTATGCTCTCCTAGTTCAAGTATAATACTATAATGTAATATTAGAAGATTTGAAGCCATTTTTTCCGTCTCAGAATGAAGTGCCAATTCCCCATTGTGCATTTGCTTCATTGTTCGTAGAGATATAGTCAAAGCCTCAAATGGAATATTGAGCAGTATTTGTTTCCTGTTTTGTATTTAATTCTACAGGAGCCGTATTCAACTTGTTGTGCTTTGATGGAGATATTATGCTAATGGAGAAGATAGAGAAGCACTTTAACACCCAAGTGGACGAGGTGAGACTCCTTTTATGACTTAAAATAATGTGGGGAAGGATTATGGAATACTTTTGGAATCCGAAACTAGTTGTAGGAGTAGCTTTAGTAAGATTTGAAGTTGTATGTTCCTATACTTTTCTGGTAATAATACAGTATAAATGTAGTAGTTGTAAGATGGGTATGAGGAACTTTGATAGTAGGTTATATCACCACCTTATGTTGCTGCTATGTAATGCAGGTCCCGTCCTGGAACAGCGAGGAGAATTTTGAGGCTGCTTTAAAAAATGCTGGTCTCATGGAAGATTATTCTTCCAACCACATGTAGTTATTCGGTTATCTGGTACTGTTGGATATAGATATCAGCCCCCAAATCAGTCAGTTTTTGGATGTTGGTTTTGGGTTTTAAACAGAATCAGTTTTTGAAGTCGATGTAATACAAGTGGTTTATTTGTTGACTACATATAATCTAGTCTCTTCTATGTTTGGTTGGAATGCAAGCCCATTGTAGAATTGATAGAACAGTTTTCCCCACATTTTTAAGAGTCATGTTTGCTATGCCCCACCTCCTCCCTTTTTTTATTTTTTTTATATAGTTTATCCATTTTTATTTTACATCATATAATTAAATTTCAAATTTAAATTCGTAAGATATGATTTTTGAATAATTTTTCACTGTTCATAGTTGAGGGACTTTTCCATTCTTAAAGATAGGTCAAGATGTCATGAAACAAGATTTTTAATTCATGGAATGTTCATAGCAAGAGGCCACCTTTAATCCCATACATCTAAAATTTAGTGTCTTAGCAAAATAATACCAATGAGAAGAGACAATAATCATGACATGACAACAACAATGTAGGATTACTTACTAAGTAGCCAGCTCCAAGAATCCAATAGAAGTGGAGGTTTTTGTATGACCTCACAAGCCCTTTTGTCCCGAAAATTTGATCAATTTAACTTTAAATTTCATTCCAACTTAAGCTAATTGTATATGTAAATCGGAGAAGCATTTGATTCTGCTCGTTTGGTTGCGCATATGAGATCGATCAAGCTGCCATTAGCAACCGTCAGATCATATTTTATAGGAGATAGTTCAAGACAATGAATTGGAGGACACCAAACATCATTTTAGACATTAATTTCAAGGACATTAAGACACTCAAATTAGGTTCATTGATCATCATCATGTGTACTCATTGTTTATTATCTTTCATCTTCATCCATATCCATTGATTACATATTCATACCTGTCCCCTGTATACTGTTACATTTTTTTTCGATGTTCGATCAAGTGAAAATACAGATTCATTGTTACCTCTTTGATTCTTGGCTTCATGAAATCTCCAGTCATGGCTGGTAAAACAATGTCTTCCTGTCCTCCCCATCTACATAACAGCGATACAAGCACATAATCATAAACACTTTTAGTCATCGGTCTAGAGGAGAATGTCAACTATCAAATTCAATTATCGATACAGACTACAAATATGTACGTGCTGTAATAAATAGATACTTATGATACATTGTTGGGAATAATCTTTAGCTTCTCTTTAATAGCTCCATTCATCAACCTGGAAACACCATCAAATGATGATGAAAGCATTTTGGTGCGAAGATGTTTCGAATACCCTTCTCTGTTTTGAAAATTTCAGCTCCAAAATCCAACATGAAGTTATACAAGTTCTGCAACATTGCAACTACTCCACTCAACTCTTCCAATATTCTGACTGCCATTGATATATATATATATATATATATATATATAGAGAAAGAGAGCGAGAGAGATTCCACATTGTTACTGCTGCTTAAAATCACATCCTCAAGCTCATCCGATGTGTTTGTAGCATCTTCATACTTCCCTTCTGTAAGCTGCTGCTGCTGAATCTCTTGGGCTAAGCTGTTCTTCCAAAGTTTAATGTTAAATTGGTCAGAATATCTCATATTTCTTTTGTTAGTTTCTAATTTATAATTACCAATTACACATTGGCATATAAAGATTTTTTGAATTCCCTCTTTCTTTTTATTTACAAATTAGCATTCGTCGAACCTATTTGATTTGTTTAAACCATTTTTGTCAATCCGCGACTCGTGGGTCCCCATGAAAACTGCATTTCAGTTCATAAATCTAAATGATATGAAACCAAAAAAATTGTCCAATTGTGAAATAGCAAGATTTTTTAAGTAGAAACACTTTTTTCGACACAGAAATGTACCACGAAATCTTTAGGAGAAATTCGATTGTTTCCCTAATGTATTTTCATTTAATATTCTTATTGGTATATTGTTATTTGAATATAATTATAATACATATTGAGGTTAAAATAGTCTAGTACATGCAATGTGTTCAAGCTTTAAGCACAAACTCAAAACCTCAGGGAGGTTGTAGTAATTTATTCTTAATTTTATGGTCTTTACCAACCAAGAGAAGGAGGATTTCTAATTCTATGAATTTTTCTAGAATACTATTTTTCCTGAAACAAAGAAGAAGAGTGTGTTTCTTTGAGTGGTTAAGGTGCACAGAATTGAAATTGTTTTGGAATCCTAATTACTTGGAAGTGGATTTTTCAATCCAAAGAGAAGATATGTTGGGTTGCATGAAAGTGTTCCACCTCCATTGTTGTTCCTTTCATTCATTCTCTCCCCCTATATATCGTCTTCTCACATATGTGTACTTACTATAATCAATCAATCTTGTGCTAAACGAACACAAGTTAATTCTAGTAGTCATAATTATAATACAATTTTATAAATTTCATATATGATATGTTTGGGAGCAACAAATCAAGTGCTTAAATTTGAAATTCGAAAAAATTAACTTAAAACTTCGAACTAAATTTATTTCAATTTCAAATCTAGTAACAACTTCTTAAAAAGAAAAACTTAATAAAAATTCCATATACATACATACATACATATATATATATATATATATATATATATACTCTATATTACTAATAACAAATATCTTATGTATCTGTGTATATATACCTGAATAAGCTGGAGTAGTAAGAATTACCATAATAATTAATAATTTTCTTTACTAAGTTTGATTCTTGTATAGCAAGAGGCCACCTTTAATCCCATAAATAGAAAATTTTTGTATATATATATATATATATATATATACTCTATATTACTAATAACAAATATCTTATGTATCTGTGTATATATACCTGAATAAGCTGGAGTAGTAAGAATTACCATAATAATTTTCTTCGAATAATATGGGGGTGCGGGGGTGCACAAAACCTCCACCAGAATCAAATAGGTCCCTAAACTAATCGACCCATTAAATGAGTTGTCAAATTTAACCTAATTATTTAATGTTAAACTAAAATGCTAAAAATTGTAATTTTAAAATTACAAAAATATCCCTTTAAGTTTGTCGTCTCCCCCTTCCCCCTTCTCTTAAGATCTCAGTCAACATGGTTAAGATATGGTCCATATCGCAGTCAACATGGCTGAGGAAGTTTTCTAGTCACATAAAAAAAAACTTTCTTTTTCTTTTCCTTCTCAGTGAAGCCAAATAAATTATGACAAAGGAGTTAACATTATTTTCATCTTTTTTATTTTTTTTTTCAATTTCACTTATTATCTTGATGCCCCAAAACTCCAGGTTAGGAATCATGACATTTTAGTTATATTGTCTCACGAAACCTCTCTTACCAAAATTCACGCTTACGAAATCTCTCTTGTCAAAATCCACGCTCACGAAAATATATATATAGTCTCACGAAACCTCTCTTGCCGAAATCCACGCTCACAAAATCTTTGCCTTCGCCAAAATCTATCCATAGTGCGCATGCAAGCGTAAGTAACCGTAAGTAACCACATCCCCAGCCAATAAAGTATATAACCCCAGCCAATAAACTATATACTTATCCCTTGTAGTTAGTGCAGCGGAAGGGTATTGATGTAGGACGGGAAGAAAAATTGGGGGTGATTAATTGTCTCCTATGATTAGGGGACATTAAAAATATCAATTTATAAGATAAAAGTGTCATTTTCCCTCAGTTGAATGGCATGTATGTATGTATATATATATACACACACTAGGGGTGGAATGGACGGGTTGGACCTGGTTTGGGTTGGATTGAAAATGGATTGGTTAAATATGGGTTAAGACCCAATAATCAACCCGGTTCAGAACGGGTTGAAAATGGGCGGGTCAGAAATATATATAGTCAACCCGTTAGGACCCGTAGACCCATTAATTATTATTTTTTAACTTTTTTTAAAATTCTTTTAAATTTTTTCCTTATATATTATGAGCTGCCTAATTTTTTTATTTTCTTCTATTATTAAAACTCAATCGCTAGAGAAAATTAATAGTAGGTCCAAAATATTTCTATAATTATATTACCTTTTCTTTTTTTTCTTTCTTTCATTCTTTATTACATGAGCTTATACACACATATACATATATATTACTTCTCCTTATCATTACACCAACCATAAATATTATCTATTGTTGTGGGGCTTGTGAAACTTTCTTTATTTTTTTAAGACACCTATTAACTTTTAGGGTGCCTTTAGTAATATTTTCGTTTTATGTTTTTGTAGTCTTAAGAAAGTAGAAACATGATTTTGCTTTCTTGAGTGAAAATCGAAAACAAAAATGATGTTTATTAACACTCGTTGTTGCCACAAATTTGAAAACATAAAACAATAAATGTGGTTAGTAGTATACAACATATTTGTTACAAAATGTACATAATATTCTTTAAATTTTTTATTTTTTATCTTTTTCATGGCAAAAATTTTAGGAATTAGTGATTAGAGGGGAGGATGAGGGGGAGGGTAGATAACTTGAACACGAACTATTACACACAGGGAACAACCCAACCACTCAAACATGACACTTACTTCCATTAATATCAAAAAGCCATAAATGTAGAAAATTTAATTTAAAATTATAAATCTTAAAAATACCCAATACGTCATAAGTACAAAATTAGATATACCAAGACAAAAATATTCACACCAATTATGTATATAAATACATGTATATGCATGAAGTATACATTTATTATGAGATATATAATATATTTAGCATATGATAATTTATTATGAATAAAAAAATATTAAATAATATATCTTATATGTAATAAAATATATATGGTGTCATAATATTGTAAACTAAATTATAATTTAATATTTACATATAATATAATATAGATATGATATATAATAATATAAAATATTTACTGCTTAATAATTTAATAACATTATATTCTATATCAAAAATTATTTTGTCACAAAAAATAATTTACATTATTATTTAATATATTATATATTAAAATATATTTTTATCAAATAAAAAATAATATACAATATTTAATATATTCTATATTAAAAATATATATTTTTATTAACATTTAATACGCAACTTAATATATAACATAAATAATATGAATTTTATTTGAAATGAATAGTGCTTGGGCAGTAAAATTAGTGAAAACGTTTCTGCGCTATAATACCAAAAACATAAGAAACATCATTTTGATGTTTCCTCTTTT